AGAAGCGATGACTCCACTTTGTATTATTTTGTCATTATCGTCTTCGCATTTGGAGAAACTATGATTTACCGACGAGTTCATGTTCTGTCACGTAGCAAGTAGGTGTAAAAAATGCTAATAAATACTGTCGGACGAAGAAAAGATGCAGTCAACGAACCCACAGTCAGCAGGGCGTGGCAACGAACGACACGTTTGAATGGTACTAAACTCATTGATCTGGCAAGCGAGTTTAACCGCAGTAAATGAGGCACTAGCCATGTGGTAGACCTTAGTTGAGACCAAAGCGAATGAACTGAAAGGATCTGCAGTGAATACGAAGGATAAATTCTTCTATCTCAAAACTTATTAATTATTGGCGGAAGTGTGACGTGCTTACGATTCTATCAACAATTCTGATGCATTGGAAATTCTACAGTTCAACAGCAACAATGATAACCTCAACCTGACATTCTGTTTACCCTATAAACGTCCCACTCACAACAGAATTAGCAAATTATCATCGCGAAAACTTGGGCAATAAACGCCTACTGTGCCACCAGGTAACAGGAGGACTTATGGTTTTACCTGGTTTTGTTAAAAAAGAGAACAATAGGATCCTTCGCTAAATTTATGAAAAACTCGAAGACAAGGACATTATTCTTTTGCGGAGAAAATCTTGTCTGGGTACAATTAGGCATTGTGGTTAGCGGCAAAAAATTGAGACCGTCCTATGAAAAAACCGCAAACACATATCTACCTACGATTGGCTGATCGCACCGCAGGTTTTGTTTGTGTGTGCTTGTGCGTGTAAACAGACTATTGGCTAACATTTCCTAATTCGCTCGTGACCCCAATTGGACAATCGGTTACGTAATGTTACATTCACGCGTCCGGCGCAGCAACGCGCAGGAATCTGATTGGCCTGTGTGTTGCGCAATCGCTGAACGCTGCCAATGATGAACTTCAGTGGGTTTTCGCATTGCATAAGAGGCGACCAACTAATGCGATCCGCAGCATCCAGCAACGCTGTCCTAGTAATTTTACCACCTGAGCCCACACACGTAAAAAGTGAATTTTTGCGTGTGCATGCGTGGAGAGGGCAAATGGGAAATAGCAAGTGATTCATGGTCTGAGTTGTGAAAGATCAACTGCTTCTGCACTAAGCGCACGCTTTTAGTGACTCATGCCACCATGTCAACCACCACCGCTGCCGCGCCATCCCATCCCATTTCGTGTCTAACAATTACCTCGTTTTCTACAGAACAACGGCGGTGGCGGTAGTTAGGAGCTAATTGATGCTCTTCGGAATTGTCTTACCCTCTACTGGATACAAACAGTGGCAAAATAAGATAAACTCATAGATTTTTTCAAAAGCATTTCACGCTTTTGAAGCCAGCGCCAGGTCTGAATAATGCATGTTGCTTATCAGTTTATAATTACTGTATGCATTTAATCACACGTTGCAAACAGATCGGTTGGGCCTGAAAAAATGCAGGAAATCTATGGTGTTTGCAGTCAGAAGGAAACAACATTTTTAAACTATTGAACAGCATAACCCTAGATAAAGCACTTCCTGTGTGGCCAACTGCTGTTAACACTCTGTTCTGAGACAGACCGTGACAACGAACGCCTTAATAGGCGCCTTGAGAAGCAAAAACACGGCATATTTACACTTTGACACTATTTTTTCAATCCTTTTCTATGCATACAGTCAAGCTACTTCCAGACTTCCATAAACTACTACGACCCAGTCACTACGCTGACGGCAGTGCGATGGAATATCCCCAGCACCTTCTACCTCTGACGTAGCATATTATTATTCTAACTGACGCTTTGAGGAATGGTCATTAAGCCATAAAAAGTCGTCAGACGTTGCCAGATGGATCTACGGAGAAGCGATGGAGGAACGAGGAAAACTAAACCCACACCTTGACGACCGCCTCAATACCGTGTGGAATGGCGAAGTGAAGTCGCTAATTGGCGGCAACCAGAACTCCTTTACAGTAGAAACACAAAAATGGCGAAGAATTGGTAAAATCTGGAGACAAGATGCACTCTTGTATTACAGAGAATAGGTTAAATGACTGACCAATGTTAAGAGAACAATTTAAGTGAAGGAAAGGAAATTAAAAATAACTGATTCGATCTCGTGAAAAGCGACCCAAACATGAAATAGGCTCACTGAAGAATATTGTCTAATCGGCTTAAACGATGCCCCGAAATTAGCTTCTCCAATTGTTGAACAAAATATATGGCAATCAAACTCGATTGGAGGCTACGAAATACTTCACTGTCATGTTGAAAAACCACATTACAACCCACGCCGCAAGAGAACCACCACAACAACAATGCTCAAAACAAAGTTAAAGCCTCCCAGCAAACTAGAGTCTATTTTATTCCCATGTAGCACACTGTAGACCTTTTCATTCTTCCCCTGTTCAACTTCTACAACGGCAGGACGGGAATCATTCACTACATCTACCGTGAGCCCCTCTCTACCATAGAGCGCTCACAGAATTCCATAATCTGTACCTTCTACAGAAACAACTCGGGGCGCCGCGTCATCGGCGAGTTGTTTAAAACTTACTAAACTTCCCCAATGACCTCGTGTATTCACAGTTTTCAAATATTATTAGAAACAAGGACGAATGGGATCACTTCGAAAGTCAAATTGTTAAACGTACACATCACCAATTGGCTGATTCACAAAACTCGACGAAAAGAAACATCGAAATTTAACATTAAATTTCGAAAATAAGCTTTTATTTCAAAGCTTTGCCATCACCATCAACGCCATCACCAGTAGCAGTACCAGCGTGCAAAACGCATTGTGGTGACGCTTAAAAAATACCACGGAAGAGCAAAACCCAAGTGCGTACACATCTTTCTCACATAATTCACTCGAGCATTACTCACCCCGGGCGTAACTTCTCACCAATCACAAAGCATCACACGCCACGCGCAACTTTTTTCCGCCTGTACACACGCACCGGTTGAAACACACACTCGTACGCACTCGTAATATGCCTCTCCACACCCCCTCCCGCCTCCCGCTTACGTGCATATGTGTGCGCGCACACACTGGACTGAAACTCTCTTTGAATGACTAATAATAGAGATGAAGAGGGGGTTAGGGTGGCGTGCAAAGTGGGTAGAGGTGTGGGTGGGGGGAGGGCAAAATATGACGTGTGGCCCCAACTTCAGCATATTTGTTCACGGTGGTAAACAATGCATCACGTAACGGTCGCAATAGGACAGCAGACTCAAACTATTGACTGTCTGCTGTCATGTCGTCTGAATGTATGTGTGCGCGTGCGCACCCGCGTGTTATGGCATTGCGTGGCCCAGCCATTAATCGGAGTTAAGCAATTGGACGGAGAGAAATGAGCTGGTGACTCATTCTGCAAACGCGAGTGCATTCGAGGAGCGGATGAATTAGGAAAAGTACAATTAGCTAATGTCTGACTAACCAGGTTTTTGTTGAAACTGCAAGGAAAGGAAAAGAATAGTCAGAGAGTAAACTAAACAATATTAATTACGACGGGGGGATGGTTTGTAGGACAGCAAGATTAGTTCATCAAGTTCGCTACCAGCGTCACACTCGACGCCCTGGTTTCCTTGTCCAAACTCGGTGGCAAAACTATGTGCTGCGTGTTCCCTACTAGCTTATGTTAACCGCGGTTGCAAGCAGATTGGGTGAGCTTAGAACAACAGAGTAGGCGTGGGATGTTCATTATCTGAGGAGGATAACTACGTATTTTCTGTTTTAGGACCAAGTGTCCCTATTGGGTTGTGGCGGTAGGATTTTTTCTGAGCCCCTCATAAGGAATGTGTTAATTTATATGCTTAACTACGTTAGTTCTGCGGTCTGCGCATCTTGGGGTCATGAAACCTGGATTGCCAAGTCCTGCCACCTTGCCCGTGCATTACGTCTAGGCGTAGGTGTCCATATTCATGTAGGGTCACAACAGAAAGGCTCTCAAACCCGCATCCGCCTCAAGTAATCGCTTCAATCCGGTGTTCTCCTAGAAAACTCCTGACAACCGAGGCGACATCAGGCTTGTGCAACTTAAAAAAGTCTGATACGGAGTTACACAAGGCCTTTACACGAAGACACGTGGAATTATGAGTCTCCCACGCTTCCAGTAACGAAATGGAATCCTGATAGGCAGCCGAACAGCACTGAACTAGGTGGCAAGGGGTAATCATGCGGAGCATTACTTCTTTAAAGCTACCCCTCATATTTTACTAAATGGCCACAAACAGTGAATGGCATATGAAAGGCGCCCGCTGTGGAGCATCGAACAGCCTTGAGCAGTCCAGGGTCAGTAAGTGCTCACAACGCAGTTCACAAGGGGGATAAAACTGTGGCTGCATCAAAATCTACTAGACGTTGAACTCAAACTGCTTCTTGCATTGATGGAAAACCAAGGATCAATCTGGATCCTGACTAGACTAAGTTGCGATAGCTGACGCAACAAGATGTCCAAGGGTAACGCCGAGTGACGCAACAGAACACCAGTTTACCAACGACAGCTCCACATTCGCGGTAGGCCTCGGTGCCACGGCACTTACCTCACCAGCTCCACCTAGACCATATACAACGAATCACAAAAACAAGTTGGAACAGAACTTCAAACGCAAACGAATGACCCCACCGGTTCCATGTACAAACAGGAACTGCTAGCATGGGATGTTTCTACTTTGCTCAATTTAAGGTCGCTTATGAGGTGGGACGATGTTGGGTTTGACCAAAGATTATCAAGAATGTGGGATTTGCAACACTCAAACAACCCCATTCCTTCCAAATGAACTTAAGTGGAACTAATTCCACAGTACATAAATTTGAACGGAGAGATCAAAAAGGCAAGGAGAACCAAGGAGTGAGATAGGGATTTGGTTTTACACAACATCAGAAAACAAGCAGACAGACATCTCTATTTAGCTACTACTAGAACTATGTCAGCAGGACCGATTCCTCAACTTAAGTTTGAAAAAACGCGGAGTTCCGAGATAACTAAAAGGCTTCGGGAAACTCAGGATGAAAATCCGCAATAAAAGAACGCCCAGGGAAGAGTCAGTCTTATTCAGTCGCTTTTAAATGGATGTCAGCAGGTCTAATTCCCACGGGCTCAAATTAAACTTAAACAGAACTTACACTGATCCACATCACTGACAGGAGGTAAAGTTGATTGTGGGATTGGAGATGGATGCGAAATACAGTTCTGTTGAAGCATTGCGATTTTCCTACCGGAAAGATCCAAGGGACTATCTTCCACGCTTCCAGCAGTATTCGCAGTCGGAGCAGGTCGTGCTGCCACTCCATTGGAATTGTTGGCGAATGCCGAGAGCAGACGCTGCAAAGCGAGAAGATCCAGCGCATTCACAGCCGGTGGCATTGTAGACGATTGTGTTGCCAACGTCTGCAGTTGTGGTGGTGGTTGTGGGGGCGGTGTCCCCAGAACCCCTCCCCCCTTCTTCGCTTTCAACGCCGTGAGCTCTCTCACTAATGCCGCGTTTTCTCGTATCAGCACCTCATTCTGTTGTTTCAACTCTGCTATCTCCTGTTCCATCAAAGCATCGTTTTGTCGTCTCTTTTCGCGCGATCGTTTTGCCGCCTCGTTGTTCTTCCTTCTCCGCTCCCAGTACTTTTCATCCTTCTTACACTCAGGGATAAATTCTCGGGCTTTCCGGGTTTCCCCGGGTCGATAGAAGGAGGCGCATACATCCCCTTCCATCGTCCCCTCCCCCTCGTCCTCATCCTCCTCCTCTTCTAAATTGGGAGGTGGAGGTGAGGTGCCATGTTTTACCGAAATCATAGAGTTGTAGAGGAAAGTGGAGGAGACCGGAGGAATGATGGAAGAACTCGGACTACTGTGTGGTGAATCGGTGCTAGAGGGACCAGCGCCCAAGTCAGTGACTGCCAATTCGCCCATCTTGATAAAGGCGATGACGGCGGAGATGATTAGCAAGCGAGCAGGCTACTGTTTATGCTGTGTGCACATGTACTGTACAGTAGCAATGATGGTGGTTGTACGGACAGGCGCTTGCATGCTTGCGCGTCCATGTCCACATCGGGGTGAAACAGACAGGCAACTGTGTGATTGGCTAGTCAATGCTCAGGCGTTTGCGTGTGTATGCGACTTTGCGAATTACCGGTGGAGGGGGGAGGAGGGGCGGTTATTAGACCAGTTATGAGGCACTTATTTCACTTTGTAGTCGTGACCTTGTGCGTCAGTATCGTGCAAATTAGATTGGCCTTTTGGCCGTTTGAGTCAACACTCGCTACCAGCATTTATTTGTGGCCCAGTGCCGTAAGTTAGCGCACAAGCGACTCATTGGGTAATTTACTCAGGCTTTAATTAGCATGAGTGCTTCACAACGTAATTTTCGGGTCAGACACGTAACACATGGACTGTTTTGATTTGCAGACTCTGGTAGCCTACATCCTTCGATGTTCAGTGATAATCTCTGTGGGAAAGCAACATTATCGCTGTCCAGAAGGCACGTTTTTTGATTAGAAGTGGGGAATTTCAATGTTGTCTATAGAGGGGAGGAAGTGACTAGGAGCTTCAATGCCTCATGCGTTCAACAAATATGGGTACTCTCAATGAATAAAAAACGAGGTGGTTAATGCTAAGTGAATGGGGAGTCAAGGTTGAAAGCGTAGTGGATAGTGCCAAGTGAGGAACTAAAGGATTAATCAATCCACGGAACCTTGCAATGGTATTTGACTTTGATAGGCCGACTCCGACGGCAGAAGAAGATCATGGCAACGACCACTACGAATGGTATTTCCAGCCTCTTTGAGGAGATTGTTTCGCATCTTTTGTTTCGGTTAAATCCCTTTAGGTGGGAGATCAGAAACTCCTGAAAGCCCCAAGAAGAGGCAAATTTTAAGAAACAACTCGATTTTTTTTCTGTTACCAATCCTATTCATTCCAAAAGTCAGTTATGCACCGTAGTTTTGGAACAAACAATAGCCAAAACTGGGACTTGCAGTTCGCTCTCTGGCTCATTTCTCGGTTTAGGTCCTAGAGTTCTCAACTGATGTTGATGGGACGGACTGTAAGCAAAAATCAGATGAATCCTATCCAAAACTTTTTCCAGTGTCATTTTTTCACCTAATGGAGTCGAACGCTATTGTTGAAACTTTCAATTGAATCGTGTATTTAGGAGGCAGAATTTATGCAATCGTCCGATGATGCCTCTTTCATTCGTCCCCACAGTTCACCGTTTAAGTATCACACTTAAAGCGATGATTTTGCGTGGTGTGTTTGTTTGTGCGTGGATGAGCAATGCGTCATAGTGTTCCGTCATAAATCAGTGCACGGTCACCAGAGCAGTAAAAAAACCCCGTTGAGGTTTTGAAACCGCCAACCGCAGCAATAAAGTTCCCACTCTCCCCTCCCTCTTCCCTGGTTTCCCTTACCCCTTCACCCTCGTCCCGCCCTACGTGACGTAAACACGGAGCAGGTGATGGTTATGGGACAGGGAGGATCAGGGTCTCGTAATCGCAGCCTTCACCTTCATCATGAATTTCGTTGACATTCCACTGATGCAAACGGCACGTTGATATGCGATCTTCCTTGCTTGGCTAGTTTAAAAAAGGGTTCCTCATTTGAGATTTGCAGTTACACATTCTTCTTTATTTAATCAAACTCACTTTTTGTTTGCAGGGTCATTTTGATCTCCCTCCATTTAGAGCACATTTTGGATGGAAATATGAGCGATCCGTAGATGAAACAAGTGCTATTACACACATGATCTCTGACGCTGACATACTGACGGCATGGAACTCCGCTCATACCGTCCATGTTATTAGTTTCAAAAGTCTCTTGTATGCCTATAATAAAGCCCCATCCTGAGCCGTATGCTTCTTAAGGTATGACTGGGGCCCGCATTAATAGCAGTGGTAATGGGACTCGCCTCAGAAGAACGAGAATTCCTGCTTTGCTAATTGGATACGAAACTGTAATGTTATAGAAGGTAGGTGTTGACCACAGATAGCTGAAGAGAGGCCATTAATTTCTTTCCTAGTACTAACAACAGCTTTAACTGCAAGCTCTAAATAAAAGTGGAAAATGATGTAATACCAGGTTTAAACGGAGGATTGAGAAGCTGTAATTAGTCAAACTAATTGAACATGGTCCATCCTTCAGCAAAACGGTGTAAATGAGCCCTTTTAATGAAACACGTGGAGTTGGCACAACGAATGGACGCTTGGCGATCCACGAAACACATCTCTGGTTTTACATTTGCTCCTGTTTTTTGGATACTTTGTCGACGCTTGTGATGCAGAAAGGTGATCACAGGGAGCTGAGGACGCGGTTTACAATAAGGCGGAGACCATGTTACCAAGCGGACCCTCTCTGCAGTGCTTACGCCAGCTACCAACTCCTTTTTGTGTTGATATGACAAGTGTGTATGGAGTGGGACATCATATAACGTCCTTAAGGGTAAATCCGGCCATAAGGATCATAAGATGGACAGCTAAAAATTTTAGCAAACATGGTGAAAGAGTATTTTGATTGAGAAAGGAACTAAAACCCCCTTACTTCACTTTGTACCACAGTTCACTGAAGAAAGATTATTGTGGCTGAAAATATGCTCACATCGGTAGGAGGTACTTTCAAGATGAGTGGATAAATAAGTTCCTCAGCATTAATTTAACAAATGGACCAAAAAGTGCAGTTAATCCACTTTAAACTTACCTATCTTTGCTGCCATTTAAAAAGATATTAAATTTAAAAACGCGCTTCGAAACCCAATTTTTTCTGAAGAGCGATCCAGTAGTTGTGCCATCAGTCAAAGCGAACTCACTGGAAGTGAGTTGTCGATTATTGTATTTAGCTGAATGAAATACTGAAAAGGAAGTTTTTGACCAACCAGCTGGAGCAAGAGCTGATGCTCTTCACTAGTGACAGGTCATCACACACCAGGTGTCCCCACGATGGCATCAAAACCACGGGCAGACACTGGACCTTTTCCCCAATCAGGATTGCAATCTCCTCTGGCTAATCGAAAGCTGATATGTGCCACTGGCTGTGGATGCTTGAAGAGACTTTTGAGAGAGCAATGCTTAGTAACCCGTTCATTTGTTATAGATATTTTCTGGTAGTCACAGGAGTTATTAGGGAGTCTATCATGCCAGTAAATTTTGGATTTTATTGCCTCAGCAAGGTTCATTTGTCCATATTGTAGCGGAACAGTTGTATGTAAATTTGACATCCCTGATAGTGATGTTTGCAAAACTCATCCATTTAAATGCCTTAAGGGCTACTTTAGATGTTGAACATCAATTCTTAATTTGCCTGTCGGCTCCAACTCCAAAGTGGCCTAGAAGAGAGGCATTCGATGCGGTTGGCTGCTGAAACTATCAACAATGTGAACTTTGAGTTCTTCGGTATAATATAGACCACATAACAAACAAACAAGCTCCACTTGTACTCTAGATGTCATATTGCTTTTCTGCAGTTTATTTTAACCGCTAGCGATAGACAGAGTTCGTTGTACCCAACCCGACATCAACCAAATGAGATGCATTACTGCAGCTTCAACAGTCCACCAGCGCAGTTTAACGCATCGCAGCGACACTGTACTTACCTGACCCTCTCAGTGAGGAGATTAGGGGGTGCAGAAGCATGGAGTACGGTCTTTTGTGTGACCTCCAGTCGCCGGGGCCCTAGCCTCGGTAACGGCACCCAAATTAAACATAGCAGATGGGTGGGGGTAAAGCTGAATGTAAACAGTTACTTGTTTTTTGTTCTCTAGCATCTCCAGGGAGTTAACTTTACATAAAATGATTGAGATATCATTTGTTTTCTGAATTGTTTAAAGTCGCTAAAATAGAGGGAAATGGCCTCCTTGTGAGAAGAGTCGAGCCTATGGGGATTCCATGCATGGACTATTGATAACCACCGGATTAATCCTTAGTTTAGATTGTAGTCAGTGAATGTGGCTCGAACTGAGGAGACTGGGTTTTATTTGTGTCGTAAATCCCATCGGAAACTTTTAAAGTGCAGGTACCTATCCACATTCCAAAATGATGAGATAGCCTGGAACCACCAGAGCACCTTCCAGGGCAGGCAAACATTTGGTATCCACATTAATCTCATCTCAGGTCGACCTCTTCAGCTAGCCTATTTTAAAAACCAAAGTGGTCCAAATGGTCTGGATTTTCCAAAACACTTTATTTCTCCTTAATCACGTTACTCGAATTAATCAATTCCTGATGAATTTTATGGTTTTGAGAGGCTACTTTTTGCTCCTCTGGATTTCACATAATCAAGCCTCGTCAGTCCAAGATTCCGACTTCGCCACAGTACCTCATATTCCCTAGGTTATGATGCAGAGGAAAATGCAGCAGCCATTGCCGCCAGGTTAACACTTGATAGAAATGACTGTCAGTAACGAAGCGAATCTTGAATTGAATAGGTAAGATCCGTTTCTAAATGATAAAATACTTGCCTATAAAGAAGTTATATTGATGATCCAAGTACCTAACACCTCTCCTTGTTCCATGGAGGTGAGGGTAACTCGCGTATACGCCTGGATAGCATTAAAACAGGACTGGATCTGAATCACTGAATTTATTTTCTGACGTTTGTCAATGAGCTTTATCCACCATAGTTACGTTTCAAAGGACTAAATGTGTTGGAAATGATGAGCAGGTCAAAATTTGTCACGTCTCACTCACTCGTAGTTGCAAGTGGATGGATGTATCCATCGCATCCTCTGCAGTGGCTTTCGCTTAACTCACCTCCCATTCACCAAGCTCATTTTCAAGGCTAAAATCGCTTGCCAGATCAAAACTTCTCAAGTCATCGACCAACTTACCGTGTACCCATTCAGTAGACACACTAAATGGCCCGACATCTTGCTTGTTGATGATCCTAGCCGACTTCGAAGCTATTTATACGAGATTCGGTATAGA